AAACTTAATTGTTGCAAAAATGGCATACCATACTCAAATTCAGTACACTCTTTGGAGCAGCCCATTGTAAAGCAATAGAGCAAATGTTTGTAAAGGCAGATAGCATGGGTAGATGCTTGATTTTATATTGGAGTTGGACTGAAAACATCTGGGCAAGTTTGATATGTCATAGTCATCAACACGCAGTAGCATATTAAAAGTACTGAGCACCATGTGTACACAGGGCCAGTACCTTTATCTCCTGGCCAAACAGCTGTGAGAAAGTCATATCCGCTGCTGCTGCTGTCCATCTCTTGGTGTCTCAGCTGTGTGACAGATGCAGTTGATGATTGCCAATAAGGGTGCAGAGGCCACACATATGTGGAAGAGACTACATAAACAGAAAGTCCATCTACTCCACTGTATATGAAAGAGGGTGGTTCATTTAATTCTTGTTTGGTCTTCCGCCAAGGAGACTCCTTGATGTATCCTTCGGTCGTGAGGTCCTCCAACTTCTATGTTATGTGACCAATCACACTCTCCTCTCTCCCTGTGGAAAATAAAAGCTTTGAAATGATAAACGCTGTCTGCCTTGGGTGTGCATATGAGTCTTAATCATGTATTGGCCTTAATGGCATGACATATCAGAAATAGTGTGAGTGACATTTGTTGTTTTTTTTAAGGTAATTGTTTGCATTTGTTTGCATAAACAAGATTTCTGTTCAAACATAATTTAAGAAATTGTATGTTGCAGGAACTTTCATTAGATGTTTAAAATAGTAAGTGATTAGTCTTTATTAAGTCAAGAGTACATCAGAGTTAATATTTTAAGTCTGATGGTACAGTTAAACTTGAGTGCCTTGAGTATCTTAAACAACACTAAAAAAGTACACTGGTATTACAATATACATTTTTTAAGGTGATCAATTACTGACATTTGCGTTTAAGATTAACTTCTTTCTATTTGTACATACAAGATATCTAGTTAATTTGAATAACTAAGTGTAGAAATATAGGTAGGAAAGGCGTTTTGATAATAAAGATAAGCCATTTTTTACACTGAGCATCATGTGCATATATTGATATTTAGGGTTACCTGTTTAGTGAAGTCATCAACAGTTTAGTCAGTTCAGTTTAAAAAATGTTGAATTCTTTCTGTTTTGTATATATATATACATATATATACATATATATATAGATATCTCTCTCTCTCTCTCTCTCTCTCTCTCTCTCTCTATATATATATATATATATATATAGAGAGAGAGAGAGAGAGAGATATCTATATATCTAGATAGATAGATAGATATAACATTCGATTTTTTAGATTTAATAAGCATTTTAACACCAAATACATAAAATAATTAACAGAAAGAGTGATGGAAAACTTATCTATCTTTACATCTTAACAGTCTTTCTAACGAGAAGGGCTGCACACGATCAGTCTGCGATGATCCGATGGCTGTCATAAAGTTGTCTGTGCCTTCTAATTAAACCCACAAGCTAATAAAACACAAGCTCTAAAAGACAAATGGCACCCTGAAAAGTGGAATACAAGGAAGGAAATGGCTGAAACTTTCCCTTTGATGACTCAATAAATTAGCATAACAACCACCATGTACGTGTCCTAACAGCGGAAAATCCCCTATTTGCAAACAATAACTTGCCAAGCAACGATAAGGAACACGAGCTGAAAGAAAGAAGGCACATTTTAACCGGATCCGGAGCAATAAATAACTGCCCCACCACACCACACACCCCCAACCCTGGGGCCTCACATTTACATTTTGAAGTGCCCGAGGGTCCCACAGATCGTCCTCACATGGAGGGCGCTGGGTGCAATTGTTTCTGGAAGACGCATTGCTTCATTTGGGTATCTTTTTGAATGACATGTAAATTTCAAAGCGCCCCGGTGGTGTTCGAAGAGGTAGTACACATAAGCACAGACACCAACACTGATTACTTGTGCCCTTAGCGGACCACTGCAAGCTGAAATGCAGCCAGCTGAAGCCAAATTGCCGCTCATCCACAAAACATCGTTTTCCGTGGAAGATATTTTGGACCCAACGAAGTTTACAGGGAAAAAAATACGTAATGGAGACACAGGAGCTCCGGGTGAGAATAAAACTCTCTGAGGCCTGAGAATTTAACTTTAAATGTAATAATGTATTCACAAGTGAAATAATAATTTATCGTTCTCTTTCAGGAAGTCATACTTCCAGAAATAAATCCAGAAAGGTGCGATTGTGCACCTCAAATACGGTCAGTCGCACCTCAAGTGAAAACAACAGCCCTATGGCCAGAGCTCTGTGTGCTATGCAGCTTCAGAGCTCGGAAGAAAAAAGCTGTCGGGTCCGTACCGCATTCACCCTGGAGCAACTGCAGGTTCTGGAGCAAAGCTTTCAGAAGTGCCACTACCTGTCGGTGCTGGAGCGACACACCATCGCCTCGGCCATGAGCTTGTCCGAGACTCAGGTAAAGATCTGGTTTCAAAACAGGCGCACAAAGTGGAAGAAAGAGCGTCTGCAGGCGAAGGAGGGCGAAGATGAAAAATACGGTCTGTCCTCCCATCCTGCGCTCTGCTCTTCTCTGTACTACAGTTCTCTTTTCCACCAGCAGCACCCTCCGCTCCAGCTGTTTGCATCGCTGCCCCTGGTGCACATCTGTCATTATTACACATAAGGCGTAAAATACGCACGGAGTGACTGAATATTGGACCAGAATGTCGCCCACCGCCATCTTCAGAAAAAAATTACATTGCAAAAATATTGCAGTGTTATCAAATTGTTGTTAAAGTTATACAAATGGAATGTATTTAGAAATTAAATGGGTTAAATGTTTAAAGTTCTCTAATGTAATTAAAGCTTATTTTTTTCAAATTACTTTTCATTTGTTACCCAGATCGTTTTTTTCTTCATTACACAGTGCTAGTAAAGGCGGTAGGTTTATATTTAGACTTGAATCAAAACAAACTATCAAAAAAATAATAATCCTGAATTGTTGAATTTTGTTTGAATTCAGACTGTTGGATTCAAAACTGGTTAGCAGTTGCTTTTTAAAAAAATTCTGTGCTACAATTTGGATGCATTGGGGGATTTTGAAGTAAGTACTAAGATTTATCATGTTCAGGATGCAACTGTGCAGGGACAGTTGGCACAAGACCCAGTAAGAACTATACTGTAACTTTAGCTGTGAACAAGTGACAGCACTCTCCTCAGAAGAAAGAGGTATGGGCCCATGTTTTCCAGCCATGTTATAGGTATGTTAACATGTTATCTGGTTAGCTATCCAGCATTAAGCCACTGATTAATAAAAGTAAAAGAGACCTATTAGTTTACCCCTGAGCCTTCACTCTGAACTGCTGGATGGTCACTTGCTTCTATCTAATTTCACTTTCACTCTGTACCAGCTATATAAGGTATACAAATAAAGAAGCACTATTTTTACTGTGCTCTACTGTTTATTGTGTCTTTTTTGTATTCTTATTTGTTCTTAGGTATTAATGTCTCATGTTACTCAATTATTTCAAACTAACAGTAAATTTACTATGCTACACATGGCAGATACTTCCAAAACATTTTTATTTCTCATGGACAGTTTAAAGAAACATTTTTTACAGCTTAAACCACATTTATTAGAAAAACTTTATTTGCAAGTGTTTGCTATAGACTTACTAAGCGCTAATGTGCATATAGATTTATTGTTTTTCGTCTTATCACACTCACTTCAAAAGGACCTCAAATAGCTAAAACTTAAGAATATAATAAATCTGTCTCAGAAGCATTTTAGGAAATGAGAAATGTCCATGAAATTAAATGTCCAAGATGGAAGACATTTTTGGGGTCTCAAGAAAGAGAAAGGAGGCACAAAACTGAAAAATGAGAGAAGCCCAGCCTCTGACATTAATGGACAAACAACTTGTCTTGGAATCAATATGCTTTTACAGTAGTTTTCTATTTCCTGAGATTATGGGAGATCTGATATCTCTTATTACAATTGTAATAACAACAATCACACCATATTGGCCAGTCTGTAGGCAAACTATTACGCTATTAAAGATTCATACCAACACTGTATAACAAATCCCTGAACTCAATAGATAAAGAATAAAAACTGGCAGACATTAATTAGTCATTAGAAGTCAACATACTTTTATTTTTAAAATGTAAACTTTGAATGCTATATTGTATTATTTGTCTTAATGAAAGTAGGCAAATGATGTATGTCTAACAGTGATTTTATTTTGTTCAGTCACAGGACATTAGTGCAGAAACCAACATGGTGTCATCGGAGTCTGAGAACTTGAAAAAAGAATGTGGAGGGAGTGGAAACTGTAAATCTCCCATACAGTATATCCATTTATATTAGGGCAACAAGTGGACCCAAATAAAGCAAAAGTGATGCAGAAAATCTAGTTCATGCATTTATTACTATTTATTACTACTTGATGTCCGTGAGTGGGAGGGACAGAGGGACAAGTTCAAAGATGAACCAATGGACCTCCTTTAATGGAAAAAAACTGAGTGAGAAGACATTAGGGTTGCCAACTATCCTGTTTTAGCCGGAATATCTCGTATAATGAGCAAAATCGGTTCTTCCCTTATTCTACATTAAACCTCCTAATGCCACTTTCTGACCAACAGATGGCACTCTTCGAAATACCAAATCTGATTTGAAAGGAATTGTATTAGTTAGTTAGTATTAGTTTTTGTGTCCAGGCACACAGATATGAAGAGTAAGGCGTAATTCATCAAAATAAGGTGCAATTTGATCTGCATAGCATATTAAACTGGGTAACTGAAGCCTGTCTTTACAATATTTGATGTTTAAAAAAACAATATATTTTGTTTTTGGGTTATTTTTCAAAGGAAAACCCCATGTAATTTATGTTATCATTTACTGTATCTCTCTTTATTGTTTTAGATGAGGAATTGACATTTTTGTTATACAAATATGAACATACAGTGCATACACTATGCTCAGTTGGCTGTGCATTGTGCTTCTGGCCCTTCAGAGTGTCCCTTAATTGATAGTTAAAAAGTTGGCAACCCTAGAAGACACTGCTGGAACCTGAACTGTCTGTCAAATATCTGAGCTAAAGCTAATGTCACAGCAGCACGCTAATCAATGTCTTTATGCTGGATAGCTAGTTAGCTAACACCATTACTGATAGCCATAACACTCATTCATTCTTTTTTATTTTTGCTGCTGCACAGGGGCGTAATTTCCAGGGGGGTTAGGGGGGGTTATGATCCCCCAAATAATCAGACCCAACCAAAACAACCCCCCCAACAAAATTATGAATTATCTTGCATAAATAAGCTGTTGATTTTCTTTACTCATTTCAGGTATTACCAGCAAAATAGTTGCATGTTTAATCATCTGGGAATTTACCCATTTATTTATTTTTTTATTTAGACAGAGATCTTGACACCCCCAGTGTTCAGCACAAAGTTACGCAGATGTTGCTGCACCTACTGAGGAAGGGGGGATTTGTGGTGTCTTATCAAACAAGGTGATCAAGTTAAACTCAGTTCCTAACTATGAACATATCCAACCAGGCCCAAATATGAATGAGAAGAATCCATCCGCCTTAATCTTTTTTCATTTTGCTTACACACACACACACACACACACACACACACACACACACACACACACACACTTCAACACATCTGTATGCAATTTAACACATGCTCTTATACTCAATTGTCATGGACTCCTGAATTCGCCAATAAGTTAAACCATTATGGGAAAAGAAACCGTATTTAGTTTAAATGAATTACTTTAGAAAAACGAAAATACATAAAGGGAGTAACTCAGTGAGAAAAAACAAATTTTGCTTGAAGCTACATATGCGAGTTATACATAATTCTGACAGTTTTAACAATATAACAACTGATTTTCCAATTTCAGAATATTAAATCAATACCTCTTAGTGCAACTTTTCAGGGAAAGACATTTGGAATCCACTTCATCAATGAGGCACTGGAATAATGGAAGCAAATAAAAGAGACAAAAAGAGAAAGAGGAAACATTTGTTCCACATGCATGCATGCACATGGTTCTGATTAGGGCAATGATTATGCAGTTTGTAGAAATCTAATCCATGTGGTGTGCATGATATGACACAACTTGACTGTCTGAAAGGTTTTGAAATAATAAAATATAACCATGACAATTGTCTCATTTTGCCTTCATACTAAAGGTATGTTTTGTAAATTAATGCATTTAAAAACTGTTTCTAGCCTTTCAAAATTAACTAACGCTATCAAAATAATATAACGAAACAACCGCTTTGACTTTAGTCAAAAACATCAGTTTGGTGTTAAAGAGATATCAAACAAAGTTGAACTAGGGCTGTACTTTAGTGTAATATACCAATTCATACCACAAAATGGTGTCGTGATGGTGTAATGTAATGGTGTAAATTTGCTTCAACCACACAATGCATTTAGAATAAATTCTTATTTAGACATGTGTGCTGCCAAGAGCCAAAGCTTGTTTAGGAAATTGAAATAAGGCTAAAAAGAAGTTGAAAAAGTTAAAAATAGCAGTAGTCTTCACTGCTCTATAAATGTTTTTGATTTCCTTGAGAGCTGGAGGTGCGCAGCAGATTCTCCGCCACTCTGGGATGGAGCTGAAGCATTTCGATTTCCTGATCGAACCACCTGTTATCCATCAACCTAATGAGCCACAGTACAAAGGGACTAGCCATCCAGACCTTGCCAGATTATCAGCATACTCAGTGTCTTAAACAGACCAGCTTTTATACTCTTCTCTTGCAAACTGTCCTGTGCGTACTAATGAAACTTGTCTTCAGTTTGTGCCCTGTCAGTCTCCAGAGCCGTTTCTTCACATGAACTCACCAATATACAAAGGAACATTTATGGTTTGGAAATTCTAAAGTACACAATTATTTTTCTGTCAAAAGTGGCACACGAGAAAAAACATAACTTGAGCAAATCATTTCATTTCAGAGGCGTGCACCGGTGCAGCTGGAATTACCTCCAAGCACAGATAGTTACCCATGAGAGTATGAAACTGCAGAAAAATCAGGAGCACAAGAATCCAAATCAAAGCGCATGAGTCCAACACCTGCCACTCCACCTGTTTAGGGGGCCTGTTAGACAACAAGGCATGACTTAGGGGCTTAGGCAGCAGGGAGGAGGTTGGCAGTAAAGCAAAGACAGAGCAGTTTGGAGGTCAACCGGGAGGCTGACGATGAAGACTGAGCAGTTCTGGAGGTCAACCAGGAGGTCAACAATGAAAAGCAGATCTGAAGGCCGGCGACGGAGATCCTCAGGTGGTGTGGCAGGTGGCCAACATCAGTGGCAACTGAGAGGGAGACCTTCATTAGGCTTGGAAGGAGGCAGGAGAAGGAGGCTCTCTGGCTCGAGCAGAGCAGGACCAGATAGAGGAGCGCAGACCTCTGGCTCAGGTGGTACAGGAACAGACGGTAGAGCACAGACCTCTAGCTCTGCTTAGCAGGACTAGGTTCAAGACCAGGGGGTGCATATGAGGGTTTTTGAGAACCTTATATTTCTAGTTCTTGGTTCATTTTTTGCTTTCATGTCTGTTCCCTTTCTCATGTCCAGTTTGCTTTGTCCTTTTATCTCCCCAGTTCCCTGTGTCTGTCACGGACCTGGTTCCAGGCACTCAGGGTCCATGAGCAGTGTGGACTATTATTATTATTATTTGAGGGTTGTGTCTTCTGCACTGCTGCTGTCCTGTGGTCCTTGTTTGTGTACTGGCAGGTGTGTATGGGTGTGTGCGTGTGTGTGAGAGTGCGGTCGTGACAGACATTTTCAGGCCTGGTGGGTGTGGCTCTGCCAGCTGACCGGTCACATCCAAGAATCTCCACACACACCTGGTGCCGATCAAGCCTCGTCAGAGGAGCTACAAAACAGTTTGGCTGAGAGCTCCTCGACGCTGGATTGTTGAGTGACTTCCCGTCAGTCTCAATAATATGTGCAAGGTTAGTGCCAGTTTGCCGGTATGCTAAGTACTCACGGCTGCCTTTGTATGCGTGTTTCCCCAGGAGGAATTGTGGGAACCAGGAAGCAGCACACGGACGGTACACAGGGAACGGAGACTGAGCACGGAGCACGGGAGTAGGGCGAAGCCACGGAACGGGAGTCAGGATCGCACTGGGGATTTATTGTTGTTTGGATTGACACCACTGTAAATAAACGCACTGCCTTCATCATTAAGTCCTGCATTTTGGGTCCTCATTCCTCTCATCCCCACGGTCTGCCGTGACAGTGTCTAAGTCTATCTCAGCCTCATTGTGTGTCATTTCCTGTGTTATTCTGATAGGCTCCCATCTTGTGTGTATTATTTCAGTTTTGCTTCCCTTTTCTCATTAGTCAGCTTCTGTTCACCTGTGTTCCCCAGGTGTGTCCACTTTGCCCATATCTCCTCTTGTGTGTATGTCTTTTTTCCTCCTGTTCTTTGTCATGTTGTCCCCTCTAGCTGTGTGTTCCCGTGTCTCCCATGTTTCCCTTCTAGCTTCCAAATTTTCTAGTTCCCTATTTTTCAGTACCTAATTTCTAGTTCCTAGTTTTTCCCTTGTGTAAGTTTTGGTGTTTTGTATATCTTTGAGAGTATCTAAGTAACAGCAATAAAGCTGCCTCTCTTAGTTATTCTGAGTCCTACCATTGGGTCCTACACTGCCTTTCACAGCCGTACCTGACACTACCCTTACACTACTCAGATTTCTTTTCTTTTCTTAAACACGAGTAATAGACTTAGCTGCAAGCTTTAAAAGATAGGGGTTTAGATTATCAGGTCCAGCTGAGTTCTTTGGATCAATGACTTTCCAAGTTTTGCTGTAATAGATCTAGGCATGGTGATAAATGGGCTACTTAAAGGAGCTGTACAAGATGTAAAACGAGATGTTTCCAAAATTCTGGAAAAGAATTGTTGTGGTTTTCTGAAATAGCTCTTAAGTACTTGTGGCGAGAATAAGGCACGGCGGGACCACGGAGTATCATTTAGAGCCATCTTTATTCACATCTCACCACAACACAACACCCCCCACACACCCAAGTCCCCGTGTTTTAACCCGGCGGGCATGATTACGGATGCCGTGCAGGTGCGTCCGCCCTCCCTGCACTGCACCGCAGACCACAGTACTATTATCACAGCCGCAGAGGCTGATCTGGGAAAGTGGGCCCAAAGCAGATGCAAGTGAGGAGACAACAGGTAGATTTTTTTAATGAAGCTTTATTTACTAAGCCAGCAGGTAGCAGTGTGAATTTGGGAAACAAGTTATGAATCGAAATGTGATGTGGGGAAAGCCGTGGCTCCCAAAATGGGAGTGGAGGTCACTGAAACAGAGGGAGAGAGACGTCAGAGGAATACTGTGAGAGGTGCCAGGGAACTAATACATTTTAATTTTCCAGGCTTACTTGCTCGCAGGTGGAGTGTGATGTGAGGCAGAGAGGTCCAGGTGAGATTCCAGAAGGGCAGTGCGGAGTTACACAAGTCCACCCTGATTGATCCAGTGGTTCTAGGTAGTTGTGGCAGGAGGACAGGGAGATGGAGCAAAACAAATGTTTAAGCAGTGCGAACAGCATCCAGCCAGGTGAGTGAGTTTACTAATGACACAAGAAGATATGTGATAAGCATAAGCAAGAATTGGCTTTGAAATGCAACAACTTGGTGAAGCACTAATGTGGTTAGCAGACAATTTGGCAAAGACCAATTGTGAGTGCTGGACTTAAATAGTGTCGGTGGATCATCATCAGATGTGAACTGCAGGTGCACTTGATAAGAACTCCACCTGGAGGTGGAGTCGTTGACACTGTGGAAAAACTGCACAACCACTCACCCAGACCATGGCAACAATTGTAATTTGGGTTTTTAAGTTAACATTGTATATTTATTTCTTAGAAGACTTTCTATAAGAAGTCTAATCAGCAGGGGAATTTGCAGACTGTAGAGAACATTGTTTTGTCTGTAATATCAGTCAGCTTGAACAGGTAGGTGGTGGGCCAGTGATGGTCTGGGGAGGTACATCCATGGAGGGATGCACAGATATCTACAGACTAGGCAATAACATCCTGACTCCCATTAGGTATCAGGAGAAAATCCTTGGACCCATGATAATGCTTGGCCTCATGTGAGTATGCAGGCAGGTCCTGGTTGACAAAGGAATCATACCACTGGCTGGCTCCCATGCTCACCTGACCTAAATC